TTTAGTGCAGTTTTGACAAAATTTTCTTGCTAAAAAATCTTTTGTTACACTACTTCATTTTATTCCTTTGATGTACGGTTAAATAAAAGCTTGTTTTTAAAAAATATTTTTTTACATTATTTTATTCTATAATTTTTAGTCCATTTATAAAGTCGTTGTATATTAAAAAGTGTTATTTTATTTTATGAAAAAATTTTTCAATAGATATTAAAATAATTCAACTTGCAATGATAGAAAACAGAAGACTTGGCAAGCAAAATGTTGTTTGCTTACGTTTTGTATAAACATACATATGTACATATAGCAGCAGTTAATTTTATTTAAAAAAATGGCGTGTCGTCCATTTCCGCTGTATCATGGCTAATATTTAGGCGCACTATTTAACTTCTTCTGGCGGGGCGACATCTGGAGTCTTCTAATTCCTACAACGAGGTTCATATCGAGACTAGATTGTTATTTAGAATTTGCCACAGATAGCTTTGCTAGACTACCACTCGGCGCGCCGGCAGCTTTAACAATTTTATAGTGGTTTTACGTTCTTTGGCAAATTACGCTCTGTTAGCCATAAATCTTACTATTTTTTGACCGCTTTTGAATCAAGACCCCTGGACCATATGGGGAATTCATTTATATTTTAAATTGCATTGTCATCATGATTGGAACTATGCTGAAAATTTCAAGTCTCTAACTTGTCGGGAAGTCAGTTTAAAATCGATTGGAAATTTCCGCGATTTGCGCGGGATGACCAAGTTAAATAAAAGCTTATAATAAAAGCTTATAAAAAGTTAATTATTACATCTTGTCGCGTGCTTTTAATTGCATGCGGTTATTGGCAAATTGGAAACACGACATCGATGCAGCTATATATTCCGCTTCATCGCCGCTATTCTCATTGATGATGATTCTGAAAAAAATTTAATACATTTTTAATTGAATTTTAAACTAAGAAAGGATAAGGAGAACTCATCATTTGAAGACTCGAATGCTCCACCGATTAGCGCAGCAGGCCCTGGATTGGATTTTTTTTACCGCATCGGTTTTTTTTAATTTTTTCTTTTAATAATATATTTTAAAAAATTTAAACACGTCACTTACGATTGAAAAAATGTTATATTTACTACTTCATGTCGTTGGCATTTGCATTTCATTTATAAGTTTAAGTTATTTATAAACATTCGCTCTCAAAATTTATTAAAGGCTTATTTGATAAAACTTTTAATAAGCTTAATATTAAAAATGCTTATTAAACGCTTATTATAGCAAACTTACTTTAAGTTATTTTTAAAAACATTTACTGAAATGCTTGTTGGGTATATACGAAAAAACTTGTTTGTAGAAAATGACTTTTACCGAAATGAGTTTGGATTATTTGAATGTTTTCTATTCAGTCATTCACATTCTTCCATTTGAAGGTAGAAAATTTAAAATAAAATGTATATTCATAACTTACAAAATTTCAAACGCTGAGTGTTTTGTATGTGAAGTAAAATATTCAAATCTACTGTACTCTGTTTGGCTAGAAGTTTGAATGAATTCATGCAGCCCTCTAGTAGATATGGAGTTACTAAGAAAATCATATGTGCATACCGGTGAAGGATTTTAGCAATAATTCTAACGAAATTTTTTTTATGTTCGCAATGAAAGTACATTAAAAACAAGTAATTTTTAGCAAAATAAACCGACTTCAATTCTCATATAAAAAAAATATATATATCTCATGATCCACTGATCGGATCATTACCAGATTAGTATGGGACCACCTCTGAGACACTACCTTTCCGATGCAAAAATAATTATCGAAATCGGTTGACATGGTCCAAAGTTATGCGGTAACATACATAAAAAAAATAAAAAATAAAAATAAATAAAAAAAATTTCCGACGAACTGATAACCTCCTCCTTTTTTGGAAGTCGGTTAACAAATAGAAGCCCATGATACAATAAGTTAGTAGCAACAAGTAAAGAAGTATAAGTTCGGGCGAAACCGAACTTTATATACCCGGCGCAGGCACCAAATATAGTCGTTTCTCGATACTATGCTGAATTATAATTCATAAGGGCGGTCCACATAGAACTTTCGCGTTGGCTTTGGCTTTGGTTTGACAGAACGCACGATAAAAGTATGCTTGAACGCTTGGCAGCGAATGCTTTGACCACTAAATTAACATACTAACGACAGATGAGTTAATATTTCATATCAATAATTGCATGACAGACGGTATTTCTTGCTCACATTTGATTAAAAATTTAAAATATTCCACATAATTTTATTTATTTGCAAAAGCTGATTGACAACGCGCGCTAAAGATGAGAGATGCCCATCTTTTTGTGTGCGTTAACTTTGACGTTGGCGTTGGCGTTGGCATTGATATGTGGACATGTCCATATAATTGTGTGTATCCATAGTCAGCTGCTAATCAACGCCAACGCGAAAGTTTTATGTGGACCGGCCTTTAGAGTTAATGAAATAATTGAACCAAGTTTGGTAGAAATCTATAAAGTGGAAGCCGAGATACACCTTGTAGTCATAAAGTGGGCGATGCCACGCCCAATTCCTAAAAGTCCATAGCAGTCTTATTTATTGTTAAGAAATTTGTGTAACTATTAACTTGGAAAACATTTGCGTCCGCAGTTATTGAAATATCAGGGTTTTCGGATGTCTGAAATTTACCGTTATACAGAAAGTGGGTGTAATTTTAGTCCGATTTGAATAATTTTCAACGAATTTCTTACTTGCACTAAAGTTATGAAGTGCACCGAGTTTGGTGGAAATTGATGAATCCGATACCGATATACACATACGTTGTCATAAGGGGGCGACGCTGCGTAGCATTGCTGAAGAAGCAAACGGGAAATCCCCGCTAATTATCGCCGGTGACTTCAATGCGTGGGCAACAGAATGGGGTAGCAGACTAATAAATAAAAGAGGCGAGCTGCTGCTTGAAACTTTTGCCCAACTCGGCGTATCAGTAGTAAATAGCGGGTCCACATACACCTTCCGCAAAATGGGAACTGGGTCAATTATTGACATAACGCTGGCGAGTGACTCCTTGGCCCAAAAAATTAATTGGAGAGTTAGTGAGGAGTATACCCACAGCGACCATCAGGCAATAATAATGGATATAACTCTGAGGCGACCCGAACAGATGCCAAATCTGACAGGCCCAAAATGGAAAGACAGTATGTTAGATGGAGAGGTCCTAGCCTGCATGATGGAAGAGTTCCAACACAAAGCTGGCTCGGTAGAGAGCGAGGTTGACCACCTGGTTCGTAACCTCGCATGCGCCTGTGATGCTGCTATGCCTCGAAGAGTGGTGAGGAAACAAAATTCCCTATGCTATTGGTGGAATAATGATATAAAAATACTTAGACGTCAGTGTCTGAGTGCTAGACGCAGAATGCAGCGTAGCAGAGGGAGGCCAGACTTCAACGAAAACCTACAATCTCTAAGAACGGCGAGGAAGAGCTTAAAAAACGCCATAAAAGTAAGCA